TTTTCAATACTCGAAAAATTTTTATTAAAATTAAAATTTCCTCTCTTTCTTTCGTAACCCTCCCCTTGAATTATTTTTATGGCTTTTGCCCTTTCAATTGCCAAACTCAATGAGGTTATATTTTCTAATTGTAAAGTTCGTTTGACAAAATTATCATATATCGCTGAAATGAATTGCGCGCAGGCGATTTTATCTCGGATTTCGTGTGGGCACTCGGGATACGCAAGGCGAACCAATCTTTCAAGTTCCGAACCTAATGTTGCCAAATCTTCCCCAAACTTTTGTTTCCGATTTGTAAATTGAACGTAATAATTTTGTGATAAGAGTCCTTCTCCAAAACGCAATTCAAGTTTTGATTTTAATTCGTTGAATTCTAAATTGGACACGTCTTCTACCGTCTCTAATACTGAACGCGCTTTTCCCCTCAAACTCGAAGCGAGTGCAACAGTCTTTGTCGTATCATCCCAACTATTTGCTTGAGCAATTAAGTTAAACTGCGAGAAAAATTCACGAAGTGATACTGTCCCGTCATAAGTATCAGGTTTTAATTTGTACCCTAATATCGCGCGAAAATCGTTCTCCCTCTCATTTAAAAAATGCGTACCCGAATTTCCACACGTTCTATTATTAGAAGGACTTAGCTGTAGATTTTGTGGCCGGGAATGAATCTCCTTCAAGGCTAGAAGTTCCTCGTCGTGACGACGCAGCATCGCCGCAATTTCGTCCTCTCGACGAGTCTGTTCCTGTCGCATCTCTCGCATTTCAAGAAGGAGAACCCGAAGAGCTGTAGATTCTGTTACCGCCGGTTCTCCTGCGACTTCCGGTAACGAGCCCGTTTGCTCTCCTGATTCCTCGCTGCCAGTCGTTCGAGACGGAGCTTGTGAACGGGTAATTCTCGGGGAATGTATCATTCTCGACGTTTCCGTTCCGTTGCGGTGAGATATTCCTTCGATCCGATCCCGGACGAGCCCCCAAAATGTTACGTCCTCCGGACGTTCTTTCTCGCAAAAGACGTCTCTCGCACACACTCTCACTCACTCGCGGCTCGCGAAATAAATACACTCTCTTATGAAGAAATGATCCTTTATACAATGATGAAATACAATGACTAATGTACACGCGAAAGAAAGAAGATTGCTCTCTGGTCAAGTCACGTCCGTACGAGATGACAGCTAGACCAAAACTGTCATGGAGCCTGAAAACAACCACCGGGCGGTTGTCAATAAACAACCCCCCTTAACGATGAAGCTCCACGACACAAGGGATGATATTCAGGGGATGAAAGATCAGGGACGTAACAATATTAACCAAATTTATTCATGCAGCATACATATTCAAAAGACATTCAGAAGATATCCCGAAGATATCTTCTGGATGTCTTTTGAATGAGCGTGCTGTATATATAAGTACTATAAATTAAAATTAAAAAAATAAAATAACTGAAAAATTGGACCGAAACAGGATTGAAAATAATATTATATTTATATAAAAATTGAAAAAATTGAATTTATAAAAAAATTGAAAAGTTAGTACAGCTTTTTAAAAGCAATAGATTTATGCATTTTATATTAACCACTTTACTCATACAGCATACATATTCAAAAGACGTTCAGAAAATATTCCGAAGATATTTTCTGCATGTCTTTCGGATGTGTTGTGCTGCTAGATTATATTAATTAAATTATTGGACTAGCATGTTATATTAGTTTAAGAAATAAACATATGAAGAAAAAGTTTATTGTAACTATGCTTAATTATAAATAAAATAGTAAATAAAATAATATAAGACATATATACGAGACTTACCGCTTTAATATTAATAAAACTATATGTACTGCCTGCTGCTACTCCACGAAATGTTGTTTTCACACAACGCACAATCACTTTAGACAAATTAAAACGTCGCAAGTCGATTTCTAGATTTTTCAAAGCGTGGTGTACTGCATGAAAGATGAACGAGAAATGAGACAGTAATGATAAGAGCCAAGAAGAGCAGTGAAGACAAATGAAAAATGTCTAGCCGCAGTGTCGCACAACTCACGCAGTGCAATCAACTTATCTACCATTAGTGGAGTATGCATTGTAATTGATTTATAATTTTTAAGATGCCAAAATTAAAAGAATATTATTAGCGTTATTAGCGCATAGTTCGCTCCAATACTATATACTCAACGTATATTACTTTTTAATATTTGCAATATATATATATATATATATATATATATATATATATTATGTATGTATATATATATGTATATATATATAAGGGTGTCCTGCAACTAATGTCCACAGTAAAACTTATACTATTTGTATTCTTGAGATTATTTTAAAAATAAACATGATTTTGAAATTTTCAAGATTTTCTATTTCTATAAATTTTTTGCGATATTCTAATGATACCCCCTTTATTCTTATTTAACATTTATGGGGTTCAATTTTTATAAAATTTTTTTACACAAATAAAAATATATATATAATTTCGAAAAATAATTTTTGAAAAATAAAGCAGTCTCTTGCTTACTTTAAATAGTTGTTAGTAGTAGAAATATAGTAGTAATAAATAGTAGTTACAATAGTACAATAGTAGTAATAATTGTTATAAAGTTGCAGTAGTAACAAAAAAAGATGTTTCATGCCAAAGACGATCTATTCGTCTGCTAGTTGTTTTTAAAATATCTTCTCTCAGAACGATTTGCATGTGCTCTCTGGAAAAAGATATTTTATATCGGAGACGATATATTTGCCTGCTAATTGTTTCTAAAATATCTTCTCCCAGAACGATTTGCATGTGCGCTCTGGAAAAAGATATTTTATATTAAAGACGATTTATTTGCCTGCTAATTATTTCTAAAATATCTTCTCCCAGAACGATTTGCATATGCGTTCTGGTTATTAAAAAAGATATGTTATACCAGAAACGATATATTCGTCTGCTAGTTGCTTCTAAAAATATCTTCTTCCAGAACGATTTGCATGTGCGTTCTGGTTATTTATAAAAAGATATTTTATACCAGAGACGATATATTCGTCTGCTAGTTGCTTTTAAAAATATTTTCTCCCAGAACGATTTGCATGTGCGTTCTGGTTATTTATAAAAAGATATTTTATACCAGAAACGATATATTCGTCTGCTAGTTGCTTCTAAAAATATCTTCTCCCAGCACAATTTGCATGAGTTAGTACCCACGATGCAATGCCTGGAGTCAAATTCAAATACAGGTCCGTGTAGTAAAAACGTCTGATATAAAATATCTTTTTCCAGAGCGCACATGCAAATCGTTCTGGGAGAAGATATTTTTAAAAGCAACTAGTAGACGAATATATCGTCTCTGGTATAAAATATGTCGAATTTTGCAAAGATAACAATTATTTTGTTATCTCGAGAATAGCCCTCTGGATATAAATTGTATCCAAAAGCATGTCTCAAGAGCGTCGCATTTTCCACTTTTCTCATATGTGGAATGAACTTTAGAGATCATTCAATAATCATATGAAAGAAATCAAGTGCCAATTTAAAGATTGGAAACTCATAAAAACTAAAACCAAAGGCCAAAAGGAAAATGACTCTAGGAACAGCACATATAAGAATACTAGCAATGAATCGATTTTCAAAAATCGTTGGAATTATTCTCAGATATGATAGATTCTAAAGTTAGTATTCAAAAAGTGTCGCCTTTTTCTAAATAATAAAAATTTATCAAATCAATAATTTGTTATATTCCAATACATATCGTTGCAAAAAGACGCCTCAATGCAAATGTTTCGTTTGCTATAATCGGACAAAAAAAAAACATTTTGTGGCTGCGTTCTCACGGGAATGGGCGATGGAAGGGCCTATTCTATCCTTGATATTTTAAAAAATATATAATATTTTTTCATTATCGAGTTACATATAATTATCAATATAATTACTTATCATTCACATGTGTGTGTATGAATATATTTACTGAGCATTCACATGTTTGTGTATAAATATATTTACTGAGTGTTCTAAATAAAACGTTACAATTTTTTATTTCTAAAAGTATAATTTTTAGAAAATAATGCTGCAAATAAAAGTTCCAGTATTTCAACAGAGATATACATACTTTGATCTTACAGAAATGTTTGTAGAAGGCAATTTTCAATATCATTAGTAAAAAAATGTAATATGTTGAACACAATAAAATTGTTTTTTTTTGGACATGCATGTAAATTTATAATATATGGAAACTGCCGAAATCTATTACTTTGATCTAATTGTACACCGAAATTTTCACCTAAACTTGAAAAATCCAAAATTTCTCGTTCCCCTCTCCGCGTGACGTTATTCTCTCGCGCTAAAAGTCCCTCTCGCCCCGCATCCCCGTCGGAGCTCATGGGTTAGAAATCTTCTTATATCACTATTAACATATGAGTACATTATTTCTTACAAAATAATTTTTGGAATTGTAATCAATTTCATGTGAATTATAGATAAAATTAGAGCTCTCGTTTTATATTAAAATTCGCAATGTGATATGTGATTTTGCAAACTTATATGAATATATGGTAATTGTAGTGTAAAAAAATGGTTTACATTATATATTTTAAGAACAAATAATATTGATTAAAATAAAAAACAAATGTGTAATAAACATGGATCCTACGTACATTAATACCTTCGAAGGTACAGGCCATCTTTCTATTTGAACTTAGTAGATTTTCTTTCTGAATTATGAATTTACTTTTAAAGCTCAATTTTTATGCACATTTATTTGCTAATAACTTTTTAATAAACAATGGTTGAATGATAAGAATGACTATTAAAATCTTTAGAAAGTGACTATATACAATACGTCAAAGTCAAAGCTACTTGCATTATGTATTACATTAAAATTAATATTTATTCTAATTTATTTTACCCTATTTTACAAGAAAAATATTCACATGATTCGTACTTTTTTAGCGGATGTGCTGATAGGCTCTTTCTTCTTCTCTCTCACTCTAAACACTGACAATAATATATAATTCGACATATGATATCTGTGCCTCACAGTTCTTTTATCGTCGTCGCTCGTTATCGTAGATTGTTTGTTTATCTCAATTTACTTATATCTACAGGCAGTGAAGTTAATCGATGAAACTATTAAAAAAAGTAATCATTGCACCTTGATTAAAAAGAACAACATCTTGCTGTCAGTTTACTTGTTTGTCGTTCCGACAAAAGAAACAATTCGTTATCAATTTTAATATCCCAAAGCAGCTGTGAAAGTTGAGTGATAGAAAAGTGGTAAGTCGATACAATTTAGGAGATTATCTTTTGTTATGCTGTCTGTCTATGTGTATCAGTGTCAGTCTCTAATTTTTAATTTCTTGATATGATAATCGCGTTTTCATCTATCGTAATAAATAATGAAAAATCAATATGCAATACAGACCAAATACTATTTTGTTATGTTGAATCGTGACGAAAAATTTTCTTATTTGAAAGTATTACACATTTTTTTAAAATTGATCGTGATATGTAGAACCTTTTTTAGAAAAAGATAAAAAAAGAGCGCTAAATCTACGCGCCATGTGAAAAAGTGTTCGCAAAACACAGTGTTTTTGCATTATTGTAAAAATTTGCTTTAAATAATATTATTTTATCTTTGCGTAATATAATTTAGTTGTACAATATAATTATAATTCTAGAAAAATAGATATAAAAAATTGTCAATTGACAAAATCTTATGTTGTAAAATTAATACTTCTAAAAACTAAAAAATAATCATATAAAACATTTATACAAAAAAAAAACTTGGCAAACTTGATTTCGACGTAACTAGCAATTTTATTCAATACTTTCACGACGTTTCGACCATTTGGTTGTGGTTCTTATCAAGTGAAAATTTTATCAATTAAAATGAGATTAACGCAACATAACACCGGTCTTATTTAAAATTAATAGTTAAAAGAGGAACACGTCCCATTCGTCGTTGACGAAACATCATAGCGATGGGACGTGTTCCTCTTTTAACTATTAATTTTAAATAAGACCGGTGTTATGTTGCGTTAATTTCATTTTAATTGATAGAATTTTCACTTGATAAGGACCACAACCAAATGGTCGAAACGTCGTGAAAGTATTGAATAAAATTGCTAGTTACGTCGAAATCAAGTTTGCCAAGTTTATTTTCACCACTAGCGTCCAATATTAATTTTGATTGATTTATACAAAACATAAAAAATTAAAAATTTATGCAAAAATTAAAAATTAATACAAAAAAATGTTAATTGAAAAATTTGGCACTCTAAATTGAACAATATGCTAATATTCGCATAACGTATTCTGTATATTTATGTTTCAGTTAATTGTTTTATTAATCAGAAAGAAATATTTTCATCGGCTTCTCAATATTAAGAATATAAATATGATGTTTTTTTTAAATCGGCCAACAGAGCCAAAGCACGAAAAATTAATTATTCAGAACTGTATTTCTTGGTTTCAGACCACTAAGTTCTATATATAAATTAATCTCGAAACTTACATATGGAGAAATAGGTGCGAAAAATATAGGTCCGCAAAGTCGCTGAAGCGGAAATCGAACCCGCGTCTTTCACTTTCCGGGCGACTGCTCTTACCAACTAAGCTATTCAGACCCTTTCGACCCTATTTCTCCATATGTAAGTTTCAAGATTAATTTATATATAGAACTTAGTGATCTCAAACCAAGAGATACAGTTCCAAATAATTAATTTTTTGTGCTTTGGCTCTGTTGGCCGATTTAAAAAAAAACATCATATTTATGTTCTATTAATGTTCCAGTTATTATGAAGTAATATTAAAATTAATTATTTACTATTAACGTAATGTTTACATAAAATTAATATTTGTTACTTTGAGATATATTACAGACAAGGTACATTGCAGTACATTTAAAATTTAACAACGCCAAGTTCTTTTAACTAAAATTTTTATATTTCTTAATTTTTATTATTTTTCAATTTTTGCATAATTTTTTAATTTTTAATTTTTTGTATAAATTTTTATTTGGTGCAATGTTTTGATATTTTTTGGAATTTTTAATTTTACAACATAAGCTTAAACAAATTGACTACGACGTAACTAGCAATTTTATTTGATTATTTCACGACGTTTCGACCATTTGGTTGTGGTCCTTTTCAAGTGAAATTTCTACAACATAATGTTACACAATATTTTTTAACATACGAAAACTCATTTAAGTGTTAAATTAATAAAATAAGTATAAATTTTATAAACATACCATCAATTAAACCGAGGTTAACATAACATCACACCGGTGTTATTTGAAATCGAAAGTTAAACGTTAAAAGAGGAACACGTCCCATCGTTATGATGTTAAAAGTTAAAAGTTAAAAGAGGAACACGTCCCATCGTTATGATGTTTCGTCAACGACTAAACTTGAAACGCGCCACTAAACAATCTTTATTATTTTGTCGTAAATGTTTGTCAAATTCTCGGTGTCTTTCTGTAGGTTAACTGTATTGTCATGCTTCTTTATGAAGAACATTTCAGCAATCTCTCTCTTTCTTACATGTTTCTCGTTATGTAAAATTGTCGGTGATTTCCAATCAAAGTTATGCCCAAAATCACATCTGTGTTTGCTCAAAACCGAATGATTAGACTCATGTAATTTAATATTGCTGGCATGTTCCTTCACTCTAGTGCATAAATGTCTTTTTGTTTGTCCAATGTATGATGCATTACAATTTTCACAATTAATCTTGTAAACTACATTCGTTTTAATATCATTAGTTATTAAATCTTTACCTCGTTTTATCAGCCTATTCAACTTTTTTGGCAAACTATAAACGACATTTATGTTAGCATTATTAAGTGACCTCTTAATACTGTCGCTAACGTCTTTAACGTATGGGAGTGGAATTACATAATTCTTATCTTAAGCCAAATTCACATTGACGTTATTATCTAAATCATTACTCAAACTGTCGTTATTATCCGCATTGTGACCGTTACCATTCCTGTTGTTATTCAGTACATTAATTCTTTTATTTACTGTGACGTGACAAATTGAAATTGTCCGTCACAAGGGCTGAATGGCCCGATCGGGGGAGGGCACGGGACCTCTGCTCTCCCGAGACAGCGAGAGAGAGAGAGAGAGAGAGAGAGAGAGAGAGAGTGCGTGCGAAAAGCGCGGGACCGGACGCGATCCCGCTGCTACGCGTTTTTGTATATTTTTTTGAGAGTTAGATTATTTTTCGCGATTGCGACGAGTGCAGCCGAAAGAGAAACCCTTTCGGCGGCAGACAGGATGTGCGACGAGTCTCAGCCGAAAGAGAAACCCTGGAGGAGAAATAGGAAGGCATAGGAAGCAGGACGACGGGGACCCCATTCGTCAGGGACACGCTCGGTAAGCCCAAGATCCAAAATTTCTTCACTGAACATCCGACAACGGAGTAGGTGCCACTGCCTAAAAATTTGTACCTTCCAGGAGCGAGCGGGGGATGGCCACTCGGGTGCAACAAGCACCCGAGTCCCCGCATACGGAGCGCCGGCAAGAGAGCTGCCGCTCCCGGGACATCCGGAATCCCGAAGGAGAGCAAGGAGCGGCCCTGCCGTGCGCTGCCGCGACGACCGCCTACGAAGAGCAACCCGCGGATCAGGACTCCGCGGGTAAGGATAATTAAGCGCGCGGCCGCAAGGATCACCGAGGCCGCGCGCGCGGCCGACCTGATAGCGCCGCGAGTGGCCTATCTAGGTAATTGGGTCACCGACGTGTCTCCTGAGGGCCCCGGTTCGGCACTGTCTAGCGAGCGCCCGACGAGAGTGGAGGTCCCGAGACGGAAGCGCAACTTAGGGAGAGCGAAAGAGGAGAGGACGATAAGGATCGTTATAGGACTGGTGAGACGACGTGGTCATCCTGCTGTCGCCGAATTAAGGTAGCAGGGTGGATGGGCCCGAATTACCTATCGTTAAGAGATTATGCCGGACTTAGTTGCCGGCCCGTTATAAAATTGCGAGAGATTAGTTTTATTGTCGAGTCGCGGTATTAACGTAACGAAACTCTATTGGGAGAAACTACGACCCATCCACTCTCTTGCGTTTCCGCATATTCTCTCTCCCGCGTGGACAGTCTTTGCGCGTAACATTGTCGCGCGAAAAGTACCGCGATTTACGCGTTGCCGAATATTGTTCGAGGCGAAAAATCGGGGAGCTCATAAACGCTTTCGGGCTCATTAAAGTATTGATGTTGTCTTAAAAGAAAAGGCGTGATTACGTTTAATTTTGTGTATGGAATTTATGTACGGCGCACGCGGTGCGCCCTTACGCCGGCCCCTTTGTTGTCGCGCATACCGCGCGGATCACGCGCCCGCGGCGTGGAGTAATATACCCGGTGGCGCATCGCCGATTTAATTAATCATTTTTTTTGTTATTGGAGACACTACCTCGTTGCCGCGAATTAGTTAAATATTATTCATAACTCGGCACGGCGAACCACCGGTCGTATTGCCTCACCAAACTCTCAATCGTGCGTCTGTGCACGCCGCTTATTTCTGTATATTATATACTCATGTGTCTTATGAACAAAATTTAAATATATGTTTTATTAACTTTAATTCCTCGGGTTATTTCTCGCCGCCACGCACCCGAACCCTTACCCGTACAGAGGCTAGCCGAGCGGGAAAGTTGCCGTCGCGATCTCTCTCTCTCCCGTGATTGACGCCCGCGAGAGGGCTGGGACAATAAGTCCAAGTAAATCAAGACTTAGCGTCCCGCGAATTTATTAATTGAGAGACGGTGCGGCTGCCGCACCTGGCGCCCAACTAAATCGAGATTTTAGTTTTCTTTTTTTATTTTTTTTGTTGTTATAATTTTTTTTGTGATCGGACGGAGAGATCGCGCCGAAGGAAACCGATATTCCGCAGGAGACTTTTCTCCTTACGCGACGAATTGATATTCGCTGCGAATTCCGCGCGATACGGTTATATTACATACTTATTAATAATATGATCCGGAAAACAATTATTAATTAAAATGTTCTTTACAATCTCAATATTCGTATTATGAAATTGTTCGTTAGAAAGTAAAATTGCATGGTCTACTAAATTGTAAATCGTATTAATTTTGTACTTAATAGGATGACTCGAAAGAAAATTGATGTATCTGCCAGAACATGTAGGTTTCCTAAACCAATTAGTTGTCAATTTATTCCCATTGCGGATAACTGTAGAATTTAAAAAATTAATAGAAGAATTGGTCTCTATTTCATGTGTGAATTTTAAACGTTCATGATAGTTATTAAATGTACTTAAAATTTCATTTATTTTAGAGCTAGGTAAAATAACAAAAATGTCGTCCACATATCTATAAAAAGTCTGAACTTTAAAACTTAAAGAATTTAAACAATTTGTTTCCAAGTCATCCATTACTAAGTCAGCTAGTATCGGTGATAGAGGGGATCCCATAGGGCTTCCATAAATCTGTTCATAATACTGCTCGTTAAATTGAAAACTAGTTGAAGTAAGTATTACATCAACAGCGTATAGGAACTGTTGCAAATTAAATTTAATTTTTAGATTTATGTCACTCCAACGACTTTCAATTGCAGAAAAAACTAAATTTTTTGGAATATTTGTAAACAACGAACAAACATCTAAAGAAATCATTACGTCATCGTCATTAACCCTTGTATTTTTAATAGTATTCACAAAAGTCCAAACATCTTTAACATTTGAATCCGGTTTCTTAACAGACTTAACTAATATCTCATGAATGTAACTGGCAATATTATAAAAGAGACTGCCTAACGATGACACAATGATTCTCAATGGATACCCGCTCTTATGGATCTTCGGGAGTCCATAACATCGTGGTAAATTACCATTTGTGCAATTCAGAAATTTATATGTTTGATCATCAATAATCTCATTATTATGCCATGACTTTACTAACGTATGAAGTTTGTTCGTCAGACGTGTAATCGGATTTTTATTTAATTTTTTGTATGTCATCGAATCACTTAACAATAATTCCATATTAGTCACATAATCATTTCTATTCATAACCACTGTCACTTGTTCTTTGTCAGCTTTGGTAACAATTAAATCTTTATTATTCTGCAAATATTTATTAGAAATATTAAACGCATCCTGAATAAATCTGTCACTATAATTGATATGTTATTTTATTAATTTAACACTTAAATGAGTTTTCGTATGTTAAAAATATTGTGTAACATTATGTTGTAGAAATTTCACTTGAAAAGGACCACAACCAAATGGTCGAAACGTCGTGAAATAATCAAATAAAATTGCTAGTTACGTCGTAGTCAAGTTGTTTAAGCTTATTTTCACCACTAGCGACAAATATTAATTTTGATTGATATTAATTTTAATTTTACAACATAAGTTTTTGTCAATTTACAGTATTAACATATTGATAGAATTGATTATATTGATAGGATTGATTACAAAAGAAAACAATCAATACAATAATGCACTGAAAGTTTATTTAGATGCACAACAAAAACTTGAGATAATACAAGTAAAAGATAGAGAAAATCATGATAACGACAAAAAGCGCGATATTACTCGTACGAATGTTGATCGAAGACAAAGATTTTTAAACAAACAGTAGACACGATAAAGTTGAATTTATTCGGTACACACAGTAGGTCGACGATTTGAGTCAGCTAATTTTCGCTATGAAGGTAGAGTAAGAAGCGCGCGTGCGGTAAGACGCGTGAGACAAGAAAAACCGCTTAAATACAAAGAAAAGATACATCGGCGATGCGGTGATTTCGAATGAATGCTATACAAATAGAATACAATACCGAGAATATAAGAGAGATTACAATAGAAAATTTAGCAAAATGAGATAATAATTTTATCACTTGAAAGATTATATATAATATTAAAGGGAATAATGAGAATCAAATAAAATTAAGAAATTGAAATTGAATTATTAACAAACAGAACTTTTTACATCTATTTTTTTAGATAAAGTATTACACATATAAAAGGCTAATAAGAGCAGAAGTAATATTACGGTTATAAAAACTAATTTATTACATTTAATCAATTTGTACTGATAGAAACAATAAAGTTTAAGTTAATCTAAAATTATAAAAATAAAATCGAAAGTTAAAACGAATGAGAAAGCGAACGTTTCGATCCAATTTTTCGGATCTCCTTCAGCGCAGTACAAAAAGCAAATTAAAATCACCAAAGTCTAAATGTTTTTAACGTATAAATGTCTAATAAACATATTTAGACGCGGTTACATCAGTAAACGAAATAAAACGTAAGATTAATATGACTCTCACTAAGCCATCACATTTACGTTACTGTGGGAAGCGATCCTCTCTAGTTTTTTGACTACGAGATTGGCAGGTGTTAAAATATAAAAATTAATCGCATTCTATAAATTAAAATAATTTTCTCATTACACCTCACTAATTATAAGATCCACAATCAAGTGCATTATGAAACAATAATCTAACAATTGGTATAAAAAAATGCTAACAAAAACTTACATATATTTATGATGTGACAATATTTTAGTTGTAACAGTAGCAAAAGTGACGCTAGTGTAATCCTCATGTCAGTAGAACGGCTCAGAGGAAACTGAATGTTAACAACAACAGTCTAAATCAATCGAAGGATTCTCATTTGTTTTTTACTGTGCCTTACTTACCGAAGGCCACTGAACAATTGATAGGTATTACAAAAAAAGTCGATACTAGACTCTCCTACATGAGTATGAATAAATTAGGTAAATTTATAAAAACACATAAAGACAAAATACCTAAAGGAGCGAATACGAATGTAGTTTATAAAATTAACTGTAAAAACTGTGATGCCTCATATGTGGGTCAAACTAGCAGAAAACTGAATACTAGGATAACTGAACATAAAAAACACATTAATAGAAAGTGTTCCAATAAATCAGTTGTTACTGATCATAGATTAGAGTTCTCTCATGAATTTGATTGGGATGAAGTAATAATTTTAGATAAAGAACCATATTACAATAAAAGACTTATATCAGAAATGTTATATATAAAAAGACAAACTAATGGATTAAATCTACAAAACGACACTGAATTTTTGCCTGATATATACAATAATATTATAGATTCTTTACCAAAATTGCCAGGGTTTGTAAACAGACCTTGATATGTATAATAAAGGTGAAACACCGAGTTACTGCCTCATTTGGGATTGGGAGTTGAGACGGTAAAGACGTTCTGTCTTTAGTAAACTTTTGTTTGTAAAAACTGTGTCTATAAGATCTCGTAGCTGATACTTGTAACTTCTATAAAATAATCGCCAATTTTATTTGAGTAAGTGTACAGTGCATGTTATTTTTCAAAAGTATAGTGAATAATTGGATATTGTTTATTTAGATCTCCATTTAATGTCTAACAACATTTCAATATGACGATTCAATCAAGATATCTCCCTTGACTAATAAATCAGGAGGCCTATACACAGTGATTACATGGCACTGTCGCTCGATCTCAGTATGTATCCAAAATTTGCACTTGTCACACGCGATGACTTATTTAGAAACATATGTAATGAAACAAAAACTGACTTTTTATTATCTTGACATCGTTAATTGCCGTCTTTAATGTTCAATATTACATTTCAATTTATATAATATTTGTATTGCGCTGAGGAAGGCTCGAAATGTCAGCCGAAACGTTCGCTCTAATGTGTATTTCTTATGTATATATTATATTATTTCGTTAAAATGCGAATAAATGATCACTTCTTATTTATTTCTTGCTACGTTCAAATAAAGTTTTTTTTTTTTATATCTATTTTTTAATATCAACTGACAACTTGTTAAGTTTAATAGCTCTTATAGCCCTTCTTTGTTTACAATTTATTATTACTAAATTTAGATAATATACACTTTACGTATGTTCACACTTTGAACTTGCACCTTGAATAAAATATCACAGTTACTTTTCATGGTAATATATTATTACTAAATTTAGATAATATACACTTTACGTATGTATGTTCACTTTGAACTGGCACCTTGAATAACATATCAGTTACTTTTCGTGATAATTTATTATTAGATCGTTTAAATTTTTAAAGGTTTAAATTTTTGAGTACCTTCTTTTGAACATGGCCTGACCTTTTCATTTTTATGATTTTTTTAGGATCATTGCGTTCCCCTGAATCATACCTACCCCTATGAGTAAGCCCACGTAGGACTTGGCATCAGAAAATTTAATTTAATTTGTATATCGTTTTCTAAAAAAAAAAGTCGCACTCTGCTTTTCAATAGCATAAAGTGATATTTTGAATTACCGTTTCAGTGATTTTCGTAAATAGAGATGGCACCCAATATCTCGAGCAAAAATTCTGAAATACACGCGGAGAAAGATTTTCAAAAAGAGGAATTTTTAATCATCACGAAGAGGACGGATAATGAAAATAATATACAAAATCGAAACGCGACACATATAAAATTCGAAGGATTATTTAAGTTCAATACGAAGTTGAAGTGGTTGAATGTCATATCCATTATTTTTCTTCATATGAGCATGATTTATGCCTGTTTCACTTTTAAATGGTCCGAAGATCTCAGGACTAACATTTGGAGTGAGTATATTCTTTGTGGAGTATTGTACAACATTAATTTTAATTTTTGACTTACAGAAGAATAATTAAATAGAAAATTAAATAAAAATTTTTAATTAATTGTTTTTAATAAAACTGATTATTTTTTATACTTTTTATACGAATATGTAAAAGCATGTATAACAATAAGTTGATTGAAAGTGTACACGCGCGTTTACTAAAAATACTGTAGTTGTCAATTGCTGAAATCGACAATAACTGACATTAGCCGAAAGCAATCGATTAGTTTTACATGATAGAAGAGAAACATGATAAAAAGCTTGACAGAGGACAAGCCAAAGTTTCATTTTTATTGTATAACTTTTATTTGATTGCAGACATTGCATCAGTCATCCGCGTCAATTATCACAAAACATATTGTGAAAATAATTCGGTGTATACATATATACATATGTATATATGTGTATATATATATACATATATATGATTCCAATTTGAGAATATTAAAATTTAAAAAATAATATACTTGATTTTATATAAAATTCTTACAAATTTGAAATAAATTTTTATATAATTTTATATAATTTTTTGAAAAAACGACTTGCTTTATGTTGAATAAAAATATAATTTGTTAAAACAATGTGATAAGCAAGCTCGTATCAAATAAAAATTAATACAATAGAAAAAGGCTTTTACACAAGCAAATATGGATGAATATATATATACAGTATATATATATATATATATATATATATATATAATTATTGTATTTAAATATAAATTTTACAATAAGTTTATGCAAGACGTTTTGTCATTTACTTGTGACTTCTCAATCGCTAAATTCAATACAATTACATACAATAACAGTCTATAAATTTCATCTTAAAGCTATAGTTGTCTTGTTGGCAATGTAAAATATACTAATATGTCCATGTTCTTCGTATTAATTTCAGTGGTCGGTAATAATTAATGTTCGATCTATATGTAACAATAGCGTACAGTTAAACTTTTATACGGATATTATTAGATATAATTAATATTAGTTAAATTGCAAACACTTACAACTTTTTATTTTTCGCCTCGGTCTCCATAATAGTGTGTTATTCTTTATCAACTATTAGGCTGAATATACGCAAAATCTTTCTCTCAATCTTTATATATTATTTAGAAAAAGATGAAATTATTTATATTTTGTTTATTTTGTCTAAAATCGGGAAATAAGCCTTGTCTAATAAATCAATATCATCTATAAGATTCAAACTGTTTTTTTGTTGTTTAATGTGTATTGTTTCTGATATTAACCTTTTGTAATATAATTTGTTAATTTATAAGTGTTTTTATAATAAACTTCTTGATACACTACATTTGTGAGAAATATGTGTTACATTATTAATTATAATACATTAATTTCATAAATATCCTAATTAATTTAACTGACTCTTCTTATATCAAGTGCTCGTCATGTGTATAATACCAGCGATCGGTGTTACTGCTGGTGCTCATCGTCTTTGGACTCATCAAGCTTATAAAGCAAAATGGCCACTCAGAATTATACTTTTCATCTATTTAGCTGCGGCTGGTCAGGTAAAAAAGTTTTCAGTTAGTTTTTGTATTGCAAAAAGAAAAAACTTTACGTTAATCTTTTTTTTTTAGAATAATCTTTATGACTGGGTGCGAGATCATAGGGTGCATCATAAATACACGGACACAGACGCGGATCCACATAATAGCAACAGAGGATTTTTTTCTCCCATGTCGGTTGGTTGATGATGAAGAAACATCCAGATGTCATTCAAAAAGGTCGTCAAATCGATATGAGCGATATATTAGCCGATCCTATCACCGCGTTTGGTTGCAAGTAAGACTACATGTGTTAAAGAGTTAATATTATCTCGCATTATGTCCAAATAGCTATTTGAGAGGCAAAAGGGAACATAAGATGTGTAAATTTTATTTGTACTTATATAATTCATTTCATAAATGCATATTACGTTACGAGAAAATGTACAGATATACTGATTAATAAGTTGTGTTATTTCACAGATATTTCTCGATATTTCAATTCGTCTTTGCCTTTTTGCTACCGGTAATAGTGCCTGTTTATGGATGGAATGAAACTTGGTCCAGAGTCTTTACGTCACAGATTATACGTTACGTTTTAAGTTTAAATTGCACATGGAGTGTTAACAGTGTGGCTCACATCTGGGGTTCAAAGCCATACGATGCGTAAGCAGATATATGCGTCCGAAATGATACGAAATTATCTATATATAAACTTAATAGAAAGAAACTTCAATGTATCTTTTTATTGCACAAATAACTTTATGTAATTTATTTTAATGACAGATACATAAATCCGACAGAAAACAAATTCGTCGCCTTTGTAGCGCTCGGTGAAGGCTGGCATAATTATCATCACGTGTTTCCGTGGGATTACAAGACGGCCGAATTAGGAAATTACACGCTCAACATGACCACGATGTTCATCGATGCCTTCTCAAAAATAGGCTGGGCGTATGATCTCAAACAACCTTCCAAAGAACTCTTAAGAACCGTCGTAATGAAGAAAGGTGATGGGAGTCATTCTCTGCAAAGTGTATCGCATCCAGATAGCAAAATGGATTAATAATTTCTGTCACGTTTTTTTTAATTCAGCAGCAGATTATCCAATGACGAACGATGATTAAGCTGAACATTTATTATCAACAGATTTATTATATTTTTCCAGAATTAAAAGAATCAATGATTCTATTAAATCGACTATATATTTTAAAATAGAGTAATATTTAATATAAATTTAACGTATAAGACGGGCAACAAAAGCCAAATCGCGGATGACAATGCGTTATCCTAACGAAACTAAATAATTTTTCGTTAGAATTAAATACCGGTGCACAAGGCACCAAATTTTTACTTGGACACGGCCAAGATTTTAAATATGAAATAATCTCATATTTTGAGATTTAATTTCAATACCCCTTTAACCCCCCTACGGAAAATAAATAAATGAATGCAAGAGAAAAATATAGATCCGAAAATCGCTGAATCGGGAATCGAACCCGAGACCTTTCGCTTGCCAGGCGACTGCTCTTCCAGCTGAGCTATTCAGATCCTTTCGATTCTATACTTTTCTCTGTTATATATATTAATGTTGGTAAACAAACGCATTTTTTAAGCCAGCGTGTATCAAATATAAGAGTTTTAACAAGGCTCTGTAATATAAATATAAATTTAACGTATAAGACGGGCAACAAGAGCCAAATCGCGGATGACAATGCGTTATCCTAACGAAACTAAATAATTTTTCGTTAGAATTAAATACCGGTGCACAAGGCACCAAATTTTTACTTGGACACGGCCAAGATTTTAAATATGAAATAATCTCATATTTTGAGATTTAATTTCAATACCCCTTTAACCCCCCTACGGAAAATAAATAAATGAATGCAAGAGAAAAATATAGATCCGAAAATCGCTGAATCGGGAATCGAACCCGAGACCTTTCGCTTGCCGGGCGACTGCTCTTCCAGCTGAGCTATTCAGATCCTTTCGATTCTATACTTTTCTCTGTTATATATATTAATGTTGGTAAACAAACGCATTTTTAAGCCAGCGTGTATCAAATATAAGAGTTTTAACAAGGCTCTGTAATATAAATATAAATTTAACGTATAAGACGGGCAACAAGAGCCAAATCGCGGATGACAATGCGTTATCCTAACGAAACTAAATAATTTTTCGTTAGAATTAAATACCGGTGCACAAGGCACCAAATTTTTTCACCAGATTATTTCATATTTAAAATCTTGGCCGTGTCCAAGTAAAAATTTGGTGCCTTGTGCACCGGTATTTAATTCTAACGAAAAATTATTTAGTTTCGTTAGGATAACGCATTGTCATCCGCGATTTGGCTCTTGTTGCCCGTCTTATACGTTAAATTTATATTTATATTACAGAGCCTTGTTAAAACTCTTATTTTTGATACACGCTGGCTTAAAAAATGCGTTTGTTTACCAACATTAATATATATAACAGAGAAAAGTATAGAATCGAAAGGATCTGAATAGCTCAGCTGGAAGAGCAGTCGCCCGGCAAGCGAAAGGTCTCGGGTTCGATTCCCGATTCAGCGATTTTCGGATCTATATTTTTCTCTTGCATTCATTTATTTATTTTCCGTAGGGGGGTTAAAGGGGTATTGAAATTAAATCTCAAAATATGAGATTATTTCATATTTAAAATCTTGGCCGTGTCCAAGTAAAAATTTGGTGCCTTGTGCACCGGTATTTAATTCTAACGAAAAATTATTTAGTTTCGTTAGGATAACGCATTGTCATCCGCGATTTGGCTCTTGTTGCCCGTCTTATACGTTAAATTTATATTTATATTACAGAGCCTTGTTAAAACTCTTATATTTGATACACGCTGGCTTAAAAAATGCGTTTGTTTACCAACATTAATATATATAACAGAGAAAAGTATAGAATCGAAAGGATCTGAATAGCTCAGCTGGAAGAGCAGTCGCCCGGCAAGCGAAAGGTCTCGGGTTCGATTCCCGATTCAGCGATTTTCGGATCTATATTTTTCTCTTGCATTCATTTATTTATTTTCCGTAGGGGGGTTAAAGGGGTATTGAAATTAAATCTCAAAATATGAGATTATTTCATATTTAAAATCTTAGCCGTGTCCAAGTAAAAATTTGGTGCCTTGTGCACCGGTATTTAATTCTAACGAAAAATTATTTAGTTTCGTTAGGATAACGCATTGTCATCCGCGATTTGGCTCTTGTTGCCCGTCTTATACGTTAAATTTATATTTATATTACAGAGCCTTGTTAAAACTCTTATATTTGATACACGCTGGCTTAAAAAATGCGTTTGTTTACCAACATTAATATATATAACAGAGAAAAGTATAGAATCGAAAGGATCTGAATAGCTCAGCTGGAAGAGCAGTCGCCCGGCAAGCGAAAGGTCTCGGGTTCGATTCCCGATTCAGCGATTTTCGGATCTATATTTTTCTCTTGCATTCATTTATTTATTTTCCGTAGGGGGGTTAAAGGGGTATTGAAATTAAATCTCAAAATATGAGATTATTTCATATTTAAAATCTTGGCCGTGTCCAAGTAAAAATTTGGTGCCTTGTGCACCGGTATTTAATTCTAACGAAAAATTATTTAGTTTCGTTAGGATAACGCATTGTCATCCGCGATTTGGCTCTTGTTGCCCGTCTTATACGTTAAATTTATATTTATATTACAGAGCCTTGTTAAAACTGTAATATTTAATGTTTTAAAGAAATTGAACAATTCGAGCAGACGAATTTCGTAATCGAAATTTAAATTATTCATTTAATTTGAGAATATATTTGAATAGTTTAATCAGTTCAAACTGATTTCGAGAAAATATACATACGATGTAAAACTAGAGGAAGCACTGTAACAAAGAAATAATAAATTTATTTTTTATTTTTTGTCTACAATAAATTATCGTTGAAAAATTTTTCTTAGAATTTAAAGTATTTATATAGTTTTAATGAAATCAAATAGACTATTAATTTCTGTTCAAATTATTCGAATTTGAAGCAAATTGTTCAAATAAAATAGAAATTTCTTCAAATTTTTTATCTAAATTCTGGTGCGACACATAATTTTTGTCTTTACATTTTTTTACCAATTAATTTACTGATTATATAATATTGTTATGCTTCTTCTTTATTGCATGTATTTAAAAGAAATGTTAAATAAACGGATATTATATATAAGATAAGCACGCTTTCTATCTATACATCATAGTTATTTGATTAGATTTAAAAATTTGTTGAATTTTTATATTATTTTAATATTGTTTGTAAGAAAAAGGGAACATTATGGAATATTTTTTATTATTATAATATATAATGTCATATATGTCAAACAAGCAATAAGAGCCAAATCGCGGATGACAGTCCGTTATCCCAACGAAACTAAATTTTTCGTTAGAATTTAAGAACCTTAGTGCTTTGTGCACAGGTTTTTAAATTCTTTTTAATTTCTAACGAAAAATTTAGTTTCGTTGGGATAACGCACTGTCATCCGCGATTTGGCTCTTATTGCCTGTTTGACACTCTCAATTGATATTTATATTTATTATAGTAAACTCTACCTAAAATTAACTGAAGAATGTAATTATGTTAGACTATATTAACTCCAAAATGTTTAGTTTTCAAAAAACCCATTTTTTTCAATTGCTTATAACTCGAAAATTATTGACTTCTCAACATTTTTGCTAAGGAAAAATCGTCTCCAAATTGGTCAGAAAATCCGCCCTTAATCATTGGTCCGTTAGTTACCGGACACCCTGTATAACGTCTTTTATATATCTCTGTCTCAGTAGCGCTCAAAGCTGTGTTATGAAAAGTTGTGTGTTTATTATATCGATGCTATAAAAACACAGTCAAAATAAGTACTTTGTGTTTTCTTAATTTCTCAATATTGTATTAGAAGTTTACCCCTTTATTTATTGTTTATTATAAATGAGTCACTATTCCTTTAAACAGTTTGATGCATATTTTGAGTTTAATTCATTTTATAACATTAAATATTTGATCAATTGTGGCAAAAATCTAAGTCGGGACAAAAGTAACAGACTATTACTATCATGAGATAGAATAGATTTATTAATAAACAAACAAATTGATTGTATATGTAGCATCACAATTATTGCTACATATGTAGGGCAAACTAAAAAACAATTAGGCACAAGAGTAAATGAACATAAAAATAATATCAAATTGGATTCTGCAAGACACTCGGTGATTTTTGATTATATTGTAAAGTTTACACATACTTTTAATTGGAACAACACAAAAATCTTGGATCACGAAAGGAATTATTATAAAAGGTTGATATCGGAAATGATATACATTAAAGAGGAAAAAAACAGTATCAACTTAAAAAAGGACACCAAGCGACTTGACGGTTCTTATTTTGATGTTTTAGAAAAATTGTCTATGTCATCTTAGCATGGCGGTATATATACAGCGTTCTGACATTGTGATTTACAGATATTGAGTTTGCTTTGTATAAAGTATACATTGTTTATAATGTTTTTTAACAAGAAATATTTTAAAGAATTTTTATCGTCTCGACATAGAAGTAAGTGATCACTATTTATTAAAAATCAAATATTCAATATTCAGGCTAACACATTAATTATTTCACAGCTTATTACATATTTTTACATCATGGATTACAAAATTAGACGTTTATTCAAAAAGAACTACAGAAATCTGATGTTCGGGATTAGGCTCTTTAACGACTAATTCGAACGATCAGCCGTAATTCAAGCCAACAATTATAATGTGTTATACTGTGTTTTTTCATATTATAAGTCTATATATTTTACATGTATGATAAGTTCTGTCTTTCTAAATTATTTAAATTATTGATATGTTAGCAGAGCGATATTTGTATTGATAAAGACTGTCGTACAGTTGAAACGTTTACTAATTATCATTTGTATTATTATATTTTCATGACGTAGAATAAAAAATTTTTAACATCTAATTAATTAGCTCGTTAAGTTGGCCTTTTAATTTATAACTTATTTTAATTTTACACGAGCCGAAATTTATTTTTTATTATATATATATATATATATGTATGTGTATGTATGCATATATAGAAAATGTATATAAATAAACTAACCTGTACATCCAGCCCTTCTTGAAGGAAACTCTACGTTTCGAAAGGGGCAAATGTTTGGCGTCATATTTTCGT